ATTTTCTTTTTCTTTTTCTTTTTAAAAAATAAAATTATGTATATATATTTATATGATAAATATATACATATTATTACCACTTTAATCTACAAAGTTTACATACAAAATATTAAAATTTGTTATTTTTATGTATATTTATATATCACAAAATACTCTATATATAATTTTATAAATTTTAAAATTAATTATCCGGTTCAGCAATTGACCCGGTGACCCGGCGGTTGAACCGGTGACCCGGTGACCCGAAGACCTGCCCGGGTCGATTACCGGGCCGGGTTTAAAAACTATGACTAAAACAGAATATATGAAAAAAAATACGAAAAATCAAAGAAAACAACATAAGTCCTTCGATGGTGTAAGAACTAAGAACACCGAAGAACTAACTATCAAAAGAAAAGCTAAAAACAAAAATTATTGAACTCTCAATTTAATGCTTGACTGATGTGCGAAATATGAAACTTTAAGCAACCTTCAATTAATCTCAAGATGGGTATTTATAGACTCGAGAAAAGTGCATTTTTCGTCCTCTAAGTATACCCCTTTGAACAATTTAGTCCTCTTCGAATAGCCACTTTGAGTTTCGTCCTCTAACTTCGAAAAAAGGTTGCGGATTCGTCCCCGACTCGCCGGAAACTCGTTAATTGCCCGGAAACACGCACGTGACATGCACGTGATGGAAATTAACGGGCAACTCGCCTTACGTGGAGCCGGTTTTTACACGCTGGTGTGGGTTTTGACACGTAGACCAACAAACTTAAACGAAAAAACAATAAAAAATCCACGTGTCGACACACGTGGAAATGGAGGGAAAGCAAATGAAATGGCCCGAAGTTGAACAGGCACAAAACGAATTGGCCCTTCTTCCCACAATCAATTTCCCCCCAAATTGTCTCCGAAAAAAACCCTACATTTCCATCCTTCCCATTTCTCTCTGAAAAAGAATCCAAATCTCGAAGAAGCAAGAACTGAGAAGCAAGAAGGCAAATGATTCCTGAGAAGGTGTTCATCCGGAAGAAGATTCGTATGCACAATGGACCTCCCACATACGGTCAGTGCCAATTTTTTTGTTTGTTTATTGAAAATTCGTGCTATGTAGAACCCTAATTGAGGTGAAAATGGTACATTTTTTAAAGTTCGTAGAATTAAAATGATATGAGGTTCTAAATTCCGTACAATATGATGAAATTAGGGTTCTTTGCAAATCGTATTCATTTAATTACAAGCCGTAATTTCAG